CACGTGATAGACAGAAACCATGACATACTCGATGCAAGGTCGAGAGTCGAACAGTACATCCGTGACGCAGAAATTGACACTATGATAATATACACAGACAACTCGAAAACCAGCACGGGAGAAGTCGCGGCAGGTGTTTACATACCGACCTGGAAGACCACACACGAATACCGACTCACTAACGAAATGGCAGTCTGCTCAGCTGAGCTGGTAGGGATTATGAAAGCACTGGAGCTAGCCTGCGAACGGCCCCCCATAAAACTCCTTGTCCTTTCTGACTCACTATCAGCAGTACAAGCCCTGAGGGATTTTTCGAAAGTGAGCCGGCAAGACATCAAAGAAGAAATCCCGACAATTTCCACCCGACTCAGAAACCTGGGGTGCCAAACTACCATTGGTTGGATCCCAGCACACATAGGCATTGAGGGCAATGAAGCAGCAGACAGAGCGGCGAAGAGAGGCACGGTTAGCCACAACACAGTATTCGCGGGACTGGGCAAAACTGAACTAAAAGCAATAATTAAAAGCAAAATATGCAGAGAATGGTCCCAACAGTGGTCGACCAGCGACAAAGGCAGAGCTGCCTACAAACTACTCAACAAACCCAGCCCCAAGAATCAAGTGACTAAACCGACCAAAATTCCGGCCATCCGAAAACTGTGGAAGATGCGACTAGGGTGCTGGCCAGACCGATTCCGCACTCCTGTGTGCGAGGAATGCAGGGCCCCCAACTCCATGGAGCACTTCTTACTAAACTGTAAACACCACGAAATAGAGAGACGAGAGCTCGTGCTGCACTTCAGAGCCACAAACCAACCTATAACAATTGAAAACTGCAAGGTCCAGCGACTTGTGAAGCAGTTCATATCCAGAACCGGGAAAGCGATCTGAGAGCCACCCCTCATCATGATGTGACTGACCAGATCCAGCGAGTACCAGCACCCACAGACAGAGGCAACTTTACCTCTCACTCACTCTTCCGACCTCACTGTATGTCCTCTCAAAGGAATTCCTGCCCCTCTGCCTGTACCACTTCCACTCCTTCTCCACCACAGGCGAATCAATCAGACTAAAAAATTCAACTAACATAAATTTCTCATAGTATATTTTCAGAAAGATTAAAACGACAGAACCCACCAAAGACCACCCGACGCTCCGAGGCAAACCAGCTAAAGGGCATAGCACAAGAAGGGGACCAGCACTCGTGGATTTCAGTCTGTTATGCATTTCATTTTGTAAACTCCCCCGCCCCTCCCACATATGTTTCAATGTTAATCAACTTATTTTCAGCTAAAAACCGAGGAAACCCACCAAAGGTCACCCGACGCTCTAAGGCAAACCAGCTAAAAGGGCATTGCACAATAAGGGGACCAGCACCTGTGGAATTCCAGGCTACTACGCTTCTATGATAACTTCACCCGTCCCCCCCCCCCCCCCACATATATCTAAAACGTAAATCAGTCTATTTTCAGATCAACCTAGGCAGAGTAGGCAGTGTGCAGGACTCAACTCACCAAGGACCTCTTCCTCAACCTAGCAAGCTATCTGTCTCTCTCCATCTTCCGACCTAGCTATAAAATATCTTTGCACCTTCGGGCGTTCTAATTTTTTTTGCAACCTTTGTTACCTCCTCTACTTATCTAACGGCTGTACACAACAACAAGATTGTGACAGTCGTCCTGTGGGGGCCGTGTTTTAGGGCGCTCAGTATGCGAGACAGGCTGCGGACAGACTTGGTACTAACACAGATGAACAGTGCAACAGCTAGCGAATAGCCAATTAAACAGGAACCAGGCCCCTCAGAACCAGAACTTAGGCAACAAATGAACAAACTCAGGTGAAAGTGCTCACCACAAAGGAAGATAAATAAAATAAGATAGCAAAGGAACCGTCCTTGAAAAAGCAGGCCATCAGGCGGCTAAAAAAGGACTAAGCTTGGAATTTTTGTTTGATTTTATACGATACGATACGATGGAGGCGGGGGCAGTAACAGCAGCTTTTTGCTGGCTTGAGAATCAACTGTACATATGTCGTGATTGTAACTGACTAATTAAATATGCTAAGGCTTGCTCTGTGTAGAGTCGAAAGCACCGCTTCAGATGTCACAGGTAGTTAGCGTCCAACGCGGCCTTCATGACATGTTTCTACACCTATCTTCAAATTGTCAAATACTTTCTGCGGCGTGTGTATTGTTATATCTTAAATGGTAATAATTATGATTGCTTCTATAGATAACACCATTTTGTTTTTAGTGCAAAGAAGTTTGAAGTTTGAACAACGGATTAACATCATGGCACACGGGTAGTAACCTATACGTTCTCCGTTCTTCTTCTAACCAAAGTCCGAGTCCGAAGAAGATCAGAGCACAGGCTCTGTAGCACCGGTGAGGATCCTGAAAAACTTTGGGTAGATTTTTAACTCAAAATCTTGCCCGGGCAGCGCCGATAGGCTTTTCTTTTTGATTTTCAACTGCCAAGGGATTTTAGGCTATCCTTCGAATAACGGTCCCAAATTATCGAGTTTTAAAATACACCCTAACAGGGCCTCAGTCACATATAAATTGCGGACCTCTTTTCGGCGACTATAACGTCACCGCCGAGAGTGGGGCTTAACTAGATGGCTGGGACTCGACGGCAAATAAAATGGAGGAAGCTGCAGGAGATGCGGTAGCTGCTGCTCGTGAGTCCCAGCCATCTAATTTAGTCCCAAACTCTCGGCAGTGATTTTAACTCGACTGAAGCTTTTCCGCTGTATGCTGTGTAGTCACCGGAAAGAGGTCCGCAATGTACATGTGACTGAGGCCCTGTTAGGGTATATTTTGGGCCCCGATAATTTCGGACCGTTATTCGGAGGAAAGCCGAATTTTTTGCGTGTGCAACAATGCACAAAAATGCATCCAATCTCACTATACAGAGACCAGGGGGAATTACTAGAAGTCGAAGTCCACGTCAAAAAATACCAGCCTTTAACAGGGATTAAACCCAGTACCTCTAGCACTCGAGGCGGACACTATGCCTCAAGACCACGCAGCCCCATTAGTGCAAATAATTACTCCAGCAAACAACCATACACTGCATATTGCTTCACGTTTGATGGTGGAGCGCATTTTTTATGACGTCATGTACACCCGGCTCTCTAGCGTAGTTGGCTAAACCGGATTGCGCGGTGAGCGGGTGACGAAATCATTGTGGTCCGTGTTCACTCCCAAGGGTAGGCAGAAAAGCCACATTTCTCCCAGATTTACGGTATTTACAAATCAAGCTGAAAAGTTGCGATATCCATAATACCGAGCCTAAGGTTAACAACTCGTGGCTTCTGGATACTAAAACAAACATGACGTCATGTACTTCTTTTCCTACATTTATTCTACATGCGAAGTGTGATGAGACTATACGGAAACATAATAAAAAACTGCAATATTTTAATTTACCTATCTGTAACAAGAATGCGCATGTGTGCTTTTGCCAAATTGTAATATGACATTTGAAAAGAAATTAGATATCTTGGATAAATTCCCCTACACTTGCACTTAAGTAACTTGCGTATGGTAAAAAGACCCTTTTCCATGCCCTCAGACGTATTAGGCATATAGGGCTAGACACTTATTTTATAGACCATTCGGCACTTGATGGGTGTTGTGGTCGGCGCCATGCTGGTCGTCTTTACTTCCAACGACTTTATCTTGTACCCATTCAAGGCTGGGTCGACCCCGGAGCCAAGGCTAATATGATATTCACAATTATTTCTTCTAATACACTGAACATGTACCATACATGACCATCTCTGCTCAAAAAGTCGTTTACAATTGATGTATTAATCTATGAAATATTGTACAATGAAATGTAACTATCTAAAAATAATTTTAAAAAATAAAAATTACTAGAAGCAAAAAGCAGCAATGAAATTGTAAAATAATGTAGGCAGTTGATTAGATTTGATTCAAGAACCGACATCAAAGCACTCGGGGCATTCGCATAAGCGCTCCGTCCCCATCTTCAGCAGCCAGCGAAGAGTTCCGATACTAATGGTGCAGTAGCATTCTAATTAAGTATCCATCTTGCATTTCATCTGAGCCTCGAGCATCTGCCAGAACCTCTCGTCACTTCCCCCTGCATCAATCTCACCAGACTGTGGTGATCCATCTGCCCCTCCGAACTGTACACGCTCTCCCACAAGGCACTAACCACTTTTAGCTGAGCCGGACCCGCCCCCCCCCCCCTTTTTGCGCCCCCTTCTAGGTAATTATCCCGTTTTATAAAAAAACTAGGAATAAGCTAGAGAATATATATATATATACATACATATATATATATATATATATATATATATATATATATATATATATATATATATATATATATATATATATATAAATTCACACACACTTTTATTAGTTAATGTCTGAAATATGATGATAGAAATATTCTCTGTAGCATGTGTTTTCGGTGCACTTAAAGCGCAATTTTTTTTTTTAAGTGTCATAACGACAGTGTTGGATGTTCAATTCCATTATCGAGGGAGTAAATTTAGCTTGAATATGCATTGTCTTTTTTTAGTTTGTGTAGTGCAATGTAAAGGTGTGGGGGGGGGGGGGGGTAAACTGACTTGTCCGGTTTTCAGTATATAATATTATGGTCAACCTACCTATGACATCTAATAATATGCTACAATCTGCTTCGTGAAAGCACGTATTACTGTTGCAAGTGAGGGGACATAGAATATTGTTAGAGATGCATCCCACGTTAAGAACTGTAAAAATTATGGTGAATTAAATAGAACTAAAAAACGTAAAGCATACGAAAATACGAAACTCAATATGATAGCTTCGCCTAGTCAGAGATTGTAAATAAGTGACCCTGACAGGTCAATGAAACGAAAACACCACCAGCCAGGCTTGCATAATCAAGGCCTGTCTAACGGATAATGTTTCATTGCCTAAAGGTTGTCCTACACACACGACTGCAAACCTTTCATTAAACAAGCACTGCGTCTGAGCTACAATGGCAAAGCCCGTAGACATGTCACCAGCTTCCATAATTCCTGAAGTTAATTATAAGGATTTGTCGTATCTGCCCCCTCCGGAACCTTACTATGTGCAGGAGGGTCTTCGCGAGAAGTTGATTAGGAAGACTAAGGAGAATCCATTTGTGCCGTTAGGTATACCTTCTTCTTTTTTACTTAACTCTTTTAGTGCAGAACCATAAATTCCACACATAATATGATGTTTTAGCTGTAGACAGATATAAAATAATTGATAATTATTATTATAACACTAACCCTTTGTTGTATAATTTGTAGAAATTACTGGACAAGTGTTGCTGATGCAAAAAGAAAAAAAGACATCTTAACTTCTTTGTCATTTTATGTGTTAGTTGAGTTGAGTCAATAATTGACATCACAGCACATTCCCATGCATGCTTCATCCTCATCTTCAGCGGCCAGCGCAGAGTTCCAGTACTGATGGTATGGGTCACAATCTGGTTATATGTCCGTCTTGCCTTTCCTCTGAGTGTAGTGAGCCAGCTAGACCCTCTGGTTCACCCAGATGCCTCATTCTCTCCAGGCCATAATAATCTTTTATCTCTACTGATTCTGTTGGGCTTTGACCACATCTGCCTTGTCATGTATCAATTCACCACCCAGTGGTGCAGATCCAGCCAATCTGTCCTGTTGTTCATTACCCACCACGCCAGCATAGCCTGGAGAAAATATCTAAAGTATGCTCACTACCTGTGAGCTTTCCAGTGAAGCTTGCAACTCTGCCTTCACCTTTTATGTAGTAGAGAAAAAAAAAATTACAGAATGTTGATGCACATTATATCTGTTTATTCCATTGTTGCTAAACCTAAAGCTATGTATTTTAGTAAAGAATTCAGATTTTTTAAATATTATGACATGTCTTTATTTTTATAGACAAGGTCTCTTTGACTTATGACCAAGTTCCATTCTAGGTTTTAAGTTGAGCTAGTCATGTCTAATTTAGATTTTTTTAACATTGTTTTCGTGCAAACTGCTTATAAAATTGTACATTAAACACAAACATGCAATTTGTGTATATATAATTATTGTACATAATTTTTAAAATACACAGTATGTACTCTGTTGATTGGTTCTGGGAAGTGTTTGACCCTACCAATTTAGTTATCTTTCTGTTTTTATTTATTTATTTTTTTGTTTTATGTGGTCATACATGGGATGGTCATAAGGCACATAGGTCGTATGTCGAGAAGGTATAATAAAAACATTTATACAGTGATACCTTATTTAAGTCCCTTAGGTGTTTGTAAGTAGGGATTCTGCGTGTGAAAATTACCAGAAAGTACACTTTATAGAATTTCATTAGGTACAGCAATGGTGAAATTTAGACTCCTTACACAGACATGAGTTAATCTTTTCATCTGACTGGTTTAAAAATAAACATATAATAAATAAATTAAAGGAAGAGATAAAGAAGCCAACAGAATTTAGAGTATTGGTCAGTTTTTGTAAAAATCCAGGGTTTTGAATCCTATGAAAACTGCGGAGACAAACAAGCCTGCTAGTTGTTGTGGCATTGCGGCCTTTAAATCACTAAAAAGATCAAAGATCAATTTGGTTTTTTTTTAAATATGAAGGCAAGTAATCACTGAATAAAGAACAGAGCAAAGAATTAACTGCTTTCTTTCCTTTGACCAAGACGGCAGTGGTTTCGTTAAATCAGCCACAGAGAGCAAAGTGACATCATCATAAATTTAATATTACATCAAAGTGACTCCCAAAAAAATTGACTTTTTAACCCCAAATAATATCTCACATGTGTTTTTCTTTGCAAGTATAATTATACCTATCATGTCTACACACTGCAGTTGCAGCCAGTACCAAAGCTGTCATACAGACATGCTGAGCACTGTCTGAAGACATCATGTCACCCTAACTCTTTAAAAGCCAGACAGGCAGCTTTCTCAGGTGAGAAATGAAGCAGCCATTGCAGGACGTAAAGATCTCCTTGGTGAGCCCAGTATCAGGTTGCCACAATCTGCATGCAGCTGCCCTAGATGGGTTTTCTGCGGGGCAACACTTGTGGTTCAGGGGATAAAGAAATCACCGCACAAATGCGACTGGGAAATGTCCACAACAGTAAATAAATACCTGAGTTAAGTTGGATGTGTCAGCCGAAAGGTGCAAATATTGTAGCTATGCTGTAAACAGGCACAGTGCAGTTATATGTCACTCTGACAAGCAATGGAGATGAAAAAATTATAAATGTATGTTTTTCTCTTAAGTGTTTAGTTGTTAACACATTTCATACATCTATTTCAGGAGTGATTTTTACAACTGTGGTTCTTACAGTGGGGATTAGCACCATGCGATCCATCAGTGGGCGTAAAAGCCAGATGTTGATGAGGATGCGAGTCGGCGGGCAAGCATTTGCTATCTTTGCAATGCTTGCTGGAATATACTTCAAAACAAAGAGTGAGAAAGCAAGCCAGTAGCACTGATCCTTTTTATAAGCAATATAGGCTAGCTTGTTTTTCGTGTATTATTATACTGTGGTGGTTATTATTTGTTGTGATGGAAGTGCTCATTTGTTAAGAGAAAGTAAGTGGATAAATGCAATAGAAAGAATGAAGATTAATAGGAAGTGCCAGAAAAACTAGATTTAAGAAAAACTAGTTGTTGATTTGAAAATTAACTTAACAGATTTTAAAAAAATCTTATTTAACATAACAGAAAAGCACACAAAAGTCATTTGAAGTGGTAAAGTATATTTAAGCTTGAAAATATTCATGCACAAGAAATAATTAAATCCCCGTGTAGGTTCCAGGGCCCTAATATAGGGAAAACAAGAATAGACCCACTGCCTTCCCAAAAGCATGTCGTAAGAGTCGACTGATTGGGAGCTTTTTTCGAAGTCGGAGTGCATCTGTCTGAGAGGCAAGGAACCAGCAGTCTGCACACAAATGAGTCAGATCTGTAAAACTGATGCACATGCAACACTCAGGTTTTGGAACAGGGCTGCAGTCCAGAAGTGGATGAACAACCAGAACTTTCCACCAGAGTTTACAGCTGGTGACCGCAAAGAAGAAGCAATAATTAAAGAAATATATGGGCATTGAAGCTTTGTGTATTGACATGAGCTTAAGTTACTATTCAGTTAATGTGTTACAGTGTAGACATAATAAGGAGAACTCACCAGGGACAGAAGAAATGGTTCTTCTTGATAAAATTTTGATTTGTATAGAGGAATTTATGATTAGAAGAACCATTTCTTGGGTCCCCGGTGAGTTCTTATCAGGTCTGCACTGTAGTATGAACAAGATTCTTGACTTTGTTGTTATTTTTGTTGCTTCTGATTAGTATGGCACTTTCTGAATCTGTGTGGGTCTCAGAGAATATTGGAGGGAATTAATCGGAGACATTATTATGAGGGATGGAGACTGTATGTGATTCGTATGAATGTCTGTATAGTAGATCAGTAATGATTGAAATTATTAATCGCAAACAAAAAAATAATGCGAAGCTACTATTGCTTTACTTGTACATACTGTTGACTAGATGTTTTTCAGTCATTTGGGGGGGGGGGGGGGGGGGGGTGCTGTACATATATTTGCTGCAGTGTACTCACAACTGTAATATTACATGGTGAGGCCCTAATCTCTTCCACGGTACGACTCTGATACCACTATCAGAAAACCATATCAAAACCTAGTAATATAGAATCATTCACTGATCTGTGAGCCACACTTTCCAGTAATGCTCAAACAAAATATTAAAAAGTATATTTGCACCTGTCTTTTGTGAAGAAAGTATTTACACCCTCTTTTTTATTTTTTTTTAAACAATTTTTATCCCTAGAAGCCACAAAACTGGTTGGTCCAATTTCACCTGTTAAACCCACTTTCCCAGCTCGCTGTAGAAACATGTTTACAAGACGTCTAGCTAACAGATTTCATTACATCTGCATTCAGCATGACAGGGGATGACTACATTGACTAAAAACTTGAGGGAATTTACTTTTTTAAAGAAAATGGCGTTATTGTAGGTTTTATTTTTCCAATGGCTACAGTGGTTACCAGGCAAACAGGTCACAGGGTTAAGAAACTGAATTAGTTTATACATCCCAAGAGATGTAAGCCAGTTGATTATATGCTTCATTTCTGTTCTTGAATTGATTACTCCCCTTACTCTTATTATAAAGAGCATACAAGCAAAGTTTTCATTAATGTCGTTGATGGTTACTGGTACCATCGGAATTGGAACTCTTCGCTTGCTGCTGAAGATGGGGGACTGAGCACTTATGGGAGTGTCCAGAGTGCTGTGATGTTGTTTTTAATTCAACATTTATTCATGCCCATGGATAACAATACCTTACTAGAAGTAGAGCACACATCACCAGGTTAAGAGACTCTAGCCTTAGCACTTATGTTTTGTTGGTCTTGTTAGAGATATTTATATAACATGACAGTTTTGTGTCTTTTTTTGTAAAGGACATTTGCAGCTTTTGTTCAGGTGGCATTAAGACAAAATACATGATAATAATAACAATATTCTGGGATTGTACCAAAATCATTTCTATGTGTGATGCAATTTTTCATTATTTGAAGCCCCACCCTAGCTTTTGCCGGAAGCACTAAATATATGTTAGTTGCGTATCCTTTACAGGACGTTGCAAAACCAACCCCAACAGCCCCTGGCTGTTGTGTGGTTTTTCTAGGCAAATTTACGTCTAGTAGTTTGCTATGCTTTCTGGACGGTCGGCTTTCTTGATACCACTGTCAAAACCAGCGCATGGCCCGCAGCTGAGATCGAACCCAGCATTATGAAGCGTTCGCATTGACTTAGCCATAGAGCCGACACCCTGAATATAGCTGGGCCATAAATATGGCCTGACGGCTGAAAGGGGTTTCTGGGACCTCTCCATGGGTGATCCTCAACCGCATGCTGGCACTTTGTGTCCCCGGGTGTTTATCGCCTATGTGATATCCTGGTGGTATACAACAAGAGAGAGAGTAATAATAACAGGAGAGGGAAAAGATAAAAACTTAACCACATGCAAATAGATAACATGAAAAGAGCAGAAACATACAAGTACTAGTACAAGCTTCAGCTACCCAAACATATTAAGAGAAGAAATAAATCTACAATACAGTAAGGAAATAAGCGATTAGACCATGAGGTACACCAAGAAGATGGCTTAGAGATAACAGACATACAAACTCTTCGAGACAACAACTGGAAAGTGAGAGCCAGTCACAGAGATGAAGAAATGCAGTTGATGACCTCTTTGATGAACTTCGAGGGCTTAGAATGCCGAAGAAGAGAAGAAGCATTAAGACTGACAAAATCATTTTCCTTAGCATTCAGTGGGGTCTAGGTGGCGAAGTGGTCAAGCCATTTGCCTTGCACTCTGAAGGACGTGGGTATGTTTCAAGGCAGCGCCATTCAGTTCACAAGTGCAGTTTTTACAGAGATCCCTGGGGATTGTCACTGGAGCTATGGAGATTGTGCTGTGTGGGATGCTCTCGGCAGGCAGCTAGCTGTTCTTTGGAGAGAGACTGAGCCATAGGGGATAAAACTCGTTGCAGTGAAGTTGATCCTCTCACCTTTACCTTTCAGGTGACCTGTGGATAGACATTACAGTATGGGTTGCAAGTTATAGTCTTGTAAATCTGTTGTTGCTTCATTATCTGAGATAATTATAGATCAAGGTTGAGGATGTTGTTTGATTTTGCTGTTAAATTTGTTACTGCAGTGGTGATGGTGATTAGTAATACCGTATGTTCATTAAACACTGTACTGTATTAATATAGCTGATTTTAGTTTTATTATATATGAATGAATCTTAAATTGACATAACTTACTCAAGACATTCCCATAGATGCTTTGTCCCCTTCTTTAGTAGTTACTGAAGACTCACCATGCTAATGATGCCATTGGCAACCTGAGTACTGAGGTATTTAGAAAAGTGGGTATGAAAACAGTTTTCTCAGTGCTCAGTCTTCAAATGCTCAGATTACTAAAGCACTAAAACTTCCGGTCAGAATAGATGCTAGGCACAGCCACTGTTTCGTGGCAAAGATTTTGCTTCTGCTAGACGGTGGCCGTTGCATTTTTGCTCCATTTGTAGACTGAACGGATATAATTTTGTCACCCCGCTACTGAGTTGAGTGCATGGTGCGACCCCATGAACTGCGGATTTCATTTGGAATGTTTTTCTACTGTGACCAACGTGGTGTTGTGTTGTGAATTATAGATTCAGAAAATGGTGCGTTGCCTGTCGTGACAATATTGGTGGTGCCCTTATGTGATTAAAATTGATTACATGTGCAACTGCTGATTTGTTTGGTTACCTCTGCTACGGTCGATGATGAACTGCATTTCTAATGTCTGACTGTTTGTGTTAGCACTTCTGATGTCTACCGTATGCTTTTAATGCATGTGTATGCTACGCTAGTGCATATGCTGATACAGCAGTCTGTCAATCTCTCCACAAGGGACTGTGATGAACATTCTGTGTGTTTTTCGTTGGCACAGGAGCAGAGCAACTATGGAGTGACCCGTCTGCTATGAAGCTGAAACTAACAAAACGTAACTAAAACACACTTGAAGGATGGTAGAATCCTTAAGAACATCCTCTATGGTAAATTACACATGGATAGCAGATGTCAAGACTAACCCCTACTGTTATTTAAAGATGTGTGAAAGCAGGATATGAATGATACAGATTTTTAGATGGATCGATGGGAAGAGGATGCCGTGAATCGCATGGCATGGTGGTGGAAAATTAGGAAGGGAATAGAGACAAAGAAAAAATGGGCTTCAGGCAGGTTAAAAGATAAGTATCTAAGAGGAAAATATTAAATACATATCATGGCAAAAGTGGTCTTCAAATTTCCTGCACTTGTAGAGGTTTCTTCTTAATATGACCTAGTCACTCTCATCATCACACCTTTAATTGTGCACTCATGAACCAAAAGACGAAGCCCCAAAAATGAACACATACCCTTCAGAGTGCAAGACAAATGATTCAACCACTTGACAATAATTTTACCAACAGTTATTGTATATTCCTACACTTGCTGTAGGATGTCATAGGAGGCTGGGTTAGCGCAGTCGATAGGAGACTCACTTTCAAATCCAGCTGCCACTCGCTGCAGCACACTGCAGTTCAAAACCAGTGGTTCACGGGGTTCACACAGCCTCTTGGTTAAGGGTACCAGAGTTAACACTCTGGTGTAAATGGAGGTATGTCACTGTAGCTACAGAGTTGCATACGGACGGCAGCACAGGCAGACAGTTTCTTGTCAGCTGGTTCAAATCTCCTGACTTTACCTTTTTACTTGCTCTAAGAATAATTGTATACATGTTGCTAGGTGTCTCAGGTTAGGTAAACAGAAATCAAATCTCTGGCTGGGTGTCTCAGGTTAGGTGAAAAGAAATCAAATCTCTGGCTGGGTGTCTCAGGTTAGGTGAAGAGAAATCAAATCTCTGG